GGAAACCCTTATTAAATATATTATGATTCTTGTTGTTGCTAATGAAGAACTGGGATGAAAGAAAAAAAAATGAGATTCAGTGGAAGACTGGTAATGTGGCTCCCTAAGGAGGGAATGATTAAATGCACTAATATAGAATAAGGAAATGCTGAACTGGGAATGATCTGGTGGTTTATAAAAGAGTGGGTAATAAATGGGTATGAGTCCATAATACAGTAATACAGAGTATTATTAAAAAAGCAAATGCTGTGGACAACTTGGATTGCATTCATAGAATATTGTACATAAAATGAGCCAGAGCTTTAAAAAGAAGCCAACAATAAGATATTATTTTAAGAAATGCCAAGGAACATGGACAACAGTGTGGTGATTGCGGCAGGGCAGAGGTGGAGTTGGAAGAGGGCATGGAGGGGATAAATGGTGATGGGAAAAATAAAATGAAAGAAATGCCAAGGAAAAAGATTCAGATGATTATGACTTAAATTGTAATGTGTCTAGATGAAAACATGTTAACATTGAAAGAAAGATACAGACTAGAATTATTAAAATATCTTAAATATAAGAAAGTCTTTAACTTTGAATCCATAACAGGTTGAAAACTTCTAACTTGTAGTCCAATGTTATGAACTGTTGTCTCTTTAAAAGTAGACTTATTTCCATTTTGAATATCTATCTTATGTTAAATGGGGGCATAAACATATATAAAAACTGAAAACTGCTCATCCTATTTAATTTTGGGCCATGATCATCTAAATTATTGAAAGTATATGTTATAATTTTGCACTTTAAAATTTAGTTTCATTAGAATCAATATTTAGTGTTTAAAATATAAGCTGTTACAATTTCAGACCAAACAGATCAAGGTGGAAGATTTTATATACTCCCATTAAAAGAACATGTGCCAAAATGAAAGATGAGCACAGATACAGTTGACCCTTGAACAACACGTTTAAAATGTGTAGATGCACTTATATGCCGATTTTTTCCAATAAATACAGAAAATGTATTTTCTCTTCCCTATGATTTTCTTAACAGTTTCTTTTCTCTAGATTCCTTTTTGATAAGAATGAGGCACATAATACATACAACATACAAAATATTTGTTAATCAGCTTTATGTTAAAGGTTCCGATCAATAGTAGGCTATTAGTACAGTAGGTCCTCGGCTTACGTGGGAGATCCGTTCCTAGGGTGCCAACGTAACGTGATTTTCGCCATCAGTCGGAACCCACCTACATAAGCACCTACGTCACTCACACGGAGCACATACACAGCAGTAATGAAGTGAAACAGTAAAAAAAAAAAATAAAAGAAAGATAACAATTCCTGACCTTTACTTGTGGTAAAGAAATAATAAAAAACATAAAGCACATATGTATATACATCGAAATGATGGAACTTTTTTTTTTTATAAATAATTGGGAGATGGTGACGTAACCACGAAACGATGTACGTCGAGTCCAGCGTAACTGTAACTTGAGGACTGTCTGTAATTAAGTTTCAGGAGGGGTGTTAAAAATTATACGTGGGTTTTCAGCTGCAGGAGGAGGGGGTCAGTGCTGTAAGCCCCCCCACCACCACATTACTGAAGGGTAAACTGTATTTAGGAATAATATACTAGTAGGTGACTTGACCTGCTAAAAAAATCTATAGCTGCATTGGTAAAATGTATATATTATGTATAAAAATTACAAAAGATGGCTAGCAACTGCTCATGTGGGCTCTTACAGATTATTTCTCAGAAGCTGTGTTATAGTACATCTTATTCCTGAATGCTTTTGCAAGCCAAGTCCTCCACTTAGCTCTGGAGGATCTATTCAGGGGTCTTTACTTTCTAAACAACAAAAACAGAGCAATATCAATGGACACAGACACTGGGGTGGTGGGGGCTTGTCCTGGGGGAGGGGAGTGGTGGTGGGGGTCAATCGGGGGAAAAGGAGACATATGTAATACTTTAAACAATAAGAAAGCAGAACAAAACAAAAACCACACCTACACACACACACACACACAGACATCATTACTGAGCGGCACCTATTAGAGAGGCCCTTTCCCTTCTGCAAGATTAACTCTGGCACCCTTTGGTCAGCAACAGGAGTGCGTCTCTAAGGTATATGAGATCTGGCGACCAAGTCAGGAGTTAGAGGATATGGTCCGAGG